GACGTACGTGTATGTAGGAGTTAAGGGCAATGTCCCATCGGCTTTTGTATCGAAGTAGCTCTTAGACCTAGACCGAGCCGCTACGAATCCATCATATCCCAGCCGAGCCTTTTCGTTCCGGAGCTTTTGGTTGGAATGCGAAGCTGCTCACCTTTGCAGGCATCGCGAACGGTCTGGGTCAATGACCACCAGGAAAATAGTTTCTGCCCACGTCCCTGGAAACATGCTCTGTAGTGTAGTCCATCCATCAGGCAGTGTATAGTATTCTACCCCGCGGAAAAGGGAAAGAAGCTCGACGTCAAATGAACAGAGTTTTCGCAGCTAAGGCCTTGGCTCGAACCTGAACTCATTCGTTTTTTTTTTTCTTACCGACTGGTCTTACGAAATACAAGTTCTAACTGGGTAATAAGCCTTTGTCAAACTATACGACGAAGCTTTCCCCTCCCCCCGCGTTTTGCAACGCACATAGTTCTGTGTCTTGTCATCTATAGACTTTTTCCTTTGCGGAAACGTGGCAAACCCGTTTTTTGCCGTACATACCTTTGAGTTGGTGAAGTAACAGACATTTTTTTTTGTATCCGTACGTCTGCAGATAAAAGTAAGCTCACGCTCGAGGATCAACCCCGCGTCGCGCCGCCCCAAGTCGGCGACAAACTGGCATCCGTTAGGGAACCTTAGGAACCCCTGTCCCTGTTGACTTTTGTGGTATATCGCCGACCCCAGAAAGTATCTTGTCGGTTCCAGCGAGAAGGAGATCTCAAACACGTTAAGATTCCCCAACGTCTGGGGAAGAATGGGGAAAAGGGAAAAAAGAAGTCCAAGGACGTATTGGATCGGGATCGCTCGGGCCAGTGTTGGGGCGTGCGACCGAACGTCCGTTACCACCACAGTCACGCCGGAGAGGAGAAGAATGATGAGACGGGTATGCCCGGAGCAAGAATCCTGCGTGCGAATATGGCGCACAGTCCGAGATACAACAGATAGGCAGAGAGGGGGGTGTGTGTTTGTGTGCAAGTTCCCGGTTTTCTTGAGCCGCCCGGTTCCAGGCTGAGCAACCTGACGGTCGCAAGCTGAGAGAAAGAGGAACGCGGGGAAGCAGCACCAGCAGTTCCGGTTGAGCTTTGGCTTCAGCAGCAGCACTGCAGTCAGCAAGTAAAAGCACTGTTCGTTTGAAGACTGTGAATGCTCCCCTTCCCTTTGGGAATGTGGGACTCGACGGAAAGACGCGGCTCTCGTTTAGAGGCTTCCGCCGGGCCGTCCGAGAGTTTACGGACCGCCTCCGGCCATTCAATCGGCTCTCCTCCGTCCAGAAGCCTGCGTAGCTCCCGTCCAAAGGCACCCCTGGTAGCCAGTCCCCATGTTCCGGACCTCGTTCGGGCCAGCGGGCTGAGGATAACTGCTCCCTGCAAAACGCGCTCCTTGCTCGATGCCGGAGCTGTAGTGTAGACGCCTCTGCAATGACTTGGTTTAGTGTCAGCCGCAATGCGGCCTACGGAGCGTCACATCTCAGTGAAGTTACGCTTCGATGTAATCAGCTCCAGCCAATTGTCCCTGGCCCGCTTTGTTCAGGTAGCATGCCCCAAGGACCATCACAATCTTCTCTCTCTCGGCCGGCATGAGCGGATGCGGCTGGTTATGGCGTGATATCCCAAAGATAAGCTGACTTCGGCCTCGAACTTCGCAGACAGATGGCTGGCTGTTGACAACTTGGAGGTATCGTGACGTGCACCCTCGTTGCAGCGCAGGATTCTCCTCTGGGACCAGATGAACGCCGCGAGTTGATCACCAAGGCTTGTGCTGGGAAATTTCGCACACAGTACGCTATAGACTAGGTTTTCTAGGCGGGAGGGGTCCCGGCCATCTCCCGAACACGGTCGAGGCCGTCACGCCGCATACACTCCTCGGGTGTGCGGCAGAGGGGCTCGGCCTTGGTCAAAACAGGTAGGAGGTAGTGGTGTACTGTGGAAGCCTCTTTCGCAGGCAGCCAGGCAGGCAGCCAACAGCGACGAGACTCTCTCTCTCTCTCTCTCTCTCTCTCTCTCTCTCAGTGACTGATATCGGGTTACCAGATGAGGATATTACGGGGGGCCGTCAGCTTGCAGCCGGGGAAAGGGCGGGAGTGCAGATCTTCCCCGTACCCAAAGTGACGTGAAGGGATTCGGCGGAGTCCACTTGCATCAACTTTGCCAGGTGGAGAAGGGGCATGAGGTCCAGCGTTGTCGCATAGCCCGTGGAGAACTCACTTCAGCCGCCGAATAATCACAAGTTGCGATAGGCATGAGATGGGCAATGTGTCCACTAGCCGATGTATGCGTCAGCTAGTGATCACGGCTTCGACTGACACCAGCATCCAAGACGTTTGAGGTGAGGCTCCTTGGCTCGCTAGAGTGCTTAAGCGAGGCAGTCCGTATCTCGCGTCTTCGGGCGGAAAGATACGCATGCCGGATCGTCGAGTCTCCGTGGGGGGTTTGTTGGCTTCGGGACATTTGTGATCTTCACGATAGCAAGATTGATACACTTGAAGGGCACCGGGGTTTGTGACATGTGTCTGCAGGCGGAGCTGCCGCAGGGCTGCGGCGCCTACGTTCTTGTTCTCGCGGACCACGGTGCTGAAAACGCGAAGAGGCAACAAGGTCTCCAAGGCTCCAGGAAGTATATTCAACCCCACTTACGCGCGTTAGAGGCCGAGGGCCCTCCGAGTCTTTCACCTCCAGCTGCCTGATATGATTGTTTGCAGACGTCAGTTCACAGGCTTGGTGTTGATGGCGGCCGCGCAGGCTGCGTGCTCTTGGGGGTTCAAGGCGTTCTGGCAAAGACGTCGCAGAGACTGTAAGTGACGAGAGCGGAAGTCCACCCCCCACCAAGATCCATAAATCGAGCCACAGTGCTGACCTGTGAACGACTTGCAACGAAGAGGCGCAGGAGTAGTGGCGTGGCTTGTTCGTGTTTTTCCAACGACAGAAACACCATCGTCGACGGATCTAGACCTCGATTGGGTGAACAGTCATCCAGATGGGCGTCCGGAGGTAGCATGGGAGTGGGGGGCATTCCACACACACAGAGAGGCGTCTCGTTGCAGACTCTGGATGCAAGAGGCTGTCCTCCCCGACGAGATGGGGGTTGCGAACAGGGGTGGCAGCCCTTGTACGTCTTACCAGGATTCTCTGCATCGTGGGTAGCATTCTGGCAAGTCGTCAACTTGAGAAGCACCACATCGAGAGTGCCTCATTGTGACGAGTCACAATATAGAAGACCTAGATCTTTGGGATGCGCGCACCTAGGTGTGCTAGGCCAGACTCATGAACCACACCGGTCGAAACCCATTCAACCGTTGTTGAAGACGTGCAGGACGCCTTGGCCAACGAGCGGCGTCAGTTCCTAAGCTGCATGTCGTCTCAGGATTCACTTGGTCCTTCTGATTGCAGCAACGCGTTGCAGAGCTCTATGCTCCCACGTACTGTCTTTGCTACTACCCTATGATAAGACGACGGGCACCGAAAGGTAACAACAAATTGAGGAGTCAGTGACGTGAGAGCTTCTCGTTGTCTGTGCAGCAAAAGTCCCTTTGCGGAGTTCAGTCCGGCAACCGCAATAAGCGGAAACGGGTTGTCAGCTTTCTGATTCTTCTATGTGATCTTTTCGCCAGGCAACATGGAAACACCATTTCACAGAATTAAAGATCCGCTGTTCATTGAGTACTCCGAAGCTAATTCCTCGGTGTGCTGCCCGGTGCGGGAGTCAAGGCCGGCTTTGGCACGATGCCACGGTCGACACCAATTCGTACTTTTGGCCCTTGCCGGGCCTAGACTCATTGGAGGACTTGGCATGGCCCTACCAATGCTCGCATTCGTTCGGCCTCTCTGTTCCATTGACTGAGCTCCGTCTGCCACGCGGAGCTGTTCCGTCGCGGTCCGAGTAAGCACCTTGTCAAAGTGCTCCCATTATCAATGCTTCGACTCGGATGAAGTTTGGACTCTTGAGTGCTTCAAATCCACTGAACCGTGTTGAGGCATTGTATGGTAGAAACTTGACCGAGTTAGATAGGTACTGCACTTGCGCCGATCAGGGTCCTGGCTCCCGTGTGCCCTACACCCTGGAGAAAGTTTCGACGAAGCGAACTCTGTCGCCAGTGCGGCTTAGCGGTAGAATCTGGGTCCATCCTCACCCAGTCACCCAAGTGTCCACCGCACGCCGGCCACGCCCGGACCTTGGTCGGGCGGCTTCGGCGCGGACCCCGTCGCCTCGGATCGTACAAGAAGGGAATGCTGAACGCGCTCAGGTTTCTCAAGCACGTACTTGCTGCATTTTATCTCGTTGCTGACGGCGTGATCAGTGCTACATGATCAATGTGGAAGAATTTCGCGTTCCCATCTCAATGCGAGAGATGAAAGTCGTTTACTGGGTTGAAGTCCCAGCAGACGGGCGCCGCTGAGACGTCTCCTGTGCGAGAGGTGGCTGGCAGTCATACGGCATGGGCCGTTGACTGTTCGAGATGGCTGGCAGCATGGGACAGCATACAAATGAAACCGAACGGCACTCAGGGATTTCCCAGTTCTGATATCTTGCAGCTGTTTGTTGTCGTCCTTATCTCGTCCCTGACACCCACACAAACCCCGCTGCCATACTTTCCCAGTCGGGGATGAGGTTGGTGACCTGACTCTTAATAAATAGCAACTATACATATCAGCCGGTCGATAAGCAAATAGTGGCGGATGGTCTTCTCCGTTGCTAGGCTTGCCTTCGAGTCTCCCTCTAAGCATCCGTAGAAGCATCCCGTCATTGCGTTTTTTAGTGGCAGTCTTAGGTAAGAAGACTTTAGCTCGTGTGGCTTGCGTCCAGCTGCAAGGTCGCACAGCTTCGATTACCTGGCGCTGCTACAGGCTGAGCGGGGCTGGTGAGGTGACGGCGCAAGATATTGGCGTCGTTTTGAATGCCTGAGAGACAAGTAGGATTGCAACGAAGATACGGAATGACTGGCTGGCTGGATGGCTGACTAGTCCATGTCCTGGTCATGCACTGTAGAATGGTTGACTTCGTACCAAGGTCTTGAAGATAAGTTTGACTATCCGCAAATCTACATAGGCAGTCAAGGTATCCATTGCAAGGATGCCTCCAGGCCAGCTCTCAACGAAGAAGAGAAGCCTCTTGTGTCACAGCGGACTATACAGCTGTGTGTAGTCGGGATGCTGTGAACTCTGTCCTCCGTCGCGTCGACCTGCAGCGCTGCATTCTTTCAGACGCCCGGGCGAGGCCATGAACGAGGCACGGTTTGAAACATGCGCCATCGATTGGACGACTCAAGCCGTAGTCGGCGAGGCGCGGAAAAGACAGAGTATGGCATGGTATGGCATGGCAAGCCAGGCCAAGGCAGGACGACGACCAGACAAACCAGGCCAAGCAGGGTAGCAAGCTGTACGAATCTGGAGCCAGTATTGCTTCTTCCGTAAGTTTGCGGAGAGGGGGAGAGGAGAGCCTCGTGGGTTTGATACGCGCGACAAGCAACCGCCATTGAATGGCCTCTGCTCCAAAAGGTTCGTGTTTGGCCGATGGACAATGCCTGTAGTGTGGAGTGTGGAATTGCTTCAGATGGTGGAGGAAGAAACCGGAGAAGCTGGAAGACCGGGGAACAAGTGTCGGACGATGCCGGGTTGGGTGTGTACGTAGGCTGACCGAGGACGAGGAGAACTCGAACTGTAATCTTCGAGGTGCTGGCAACCTGCGTGTTAGTGTAACTCACATAGGATTCGCCATACCTGTGCCAGATGATGCACTGGCTGTCTAGACATGTACACCCAGGTGCAGATGATAGGTTCAACGCAGTCGGCCTCCAGCCCGCGCATTTCATCGCAGCACAGGAAACATACGGACAGATAGAAACGAAAGAACAGACAGCCAGGGTTTCTTCTGCCTGAGCGACTCGTGGCCTGGACCGATCTGCCAGAGCGTCTTAGCAGACTATTGTGCCCGTAGCTAGCAGCGTCCCTGCTCTCGACGGCCGCCGTGTTTCCCGATCGAGTTTGAAGAGGTTCCCGCCCGCTGTTCAGGACGGCAATGAGTAGTTCGTCCAGCGGGAAACAGGTGCTAAACAGTTGCTGCTCCATACAGGCCTGCCATCAGTATCTGCAGTGCGCGGCATATTGTTGGAAGTGAGCCTATCCTGTTCCGCGAGACACTGAGAGAAAGAGAACGGCGGGGCGGGAGAGGCAAATTCATGGGCGAAGCTCCACCGTTTGGCGCTGACAGGAACTGCAATGACTGCTTCCCTGAAAGTGAGACTGAGCTATCATCGGACGCGTCCAAGGAGACTGATCAGCTAGGCAGGGAAATACTGGAAATTGAGGAGCCTGCTCAGCTCTTTGAATGGGCTGGCTTGTCCGGTTCATGCCGAAGAACCGTGGAAAGTATTCTCCAGCTGTCGACTTTGGTATTCCATCGCACTCAAGTGTGACTGGTAGAGGATGCAATAGCTGGAAACCAAGCTCGAGGCCAAGGGTGAGTGCTACATGGATTCTGAATCTGTGATATGCTACCTGTGGGGGATCTCCAGACCAAGCCAAGCCGGCTCAACTCTCCCATCTCTTCCCCGTGGAGGCCGACCCATCCAGTGAGAGATAGTCAGGGACCATTTGCTGTCAACCGCGTCGAAATGGCGTCGTCCCCATTCGCCCACTAGGTACTGCTTCCAGACTTTGGATGCGTCAATTCATTGTCGCCAGCAGGTTCCGTGGCCGTAACCGTGACACGCGAGATGCCACGACGAGAATAGCCTACGTTTCATGAGACATCTCATTTGAACCTAACCTCAGCCTAGCTCGGCGTGATTCGGGTCTTGTTGAAGTCGCAACCGAATCAACCACCATCCCCTATTGGCTGTCAGCCAGTGCATTGTCTGCAATGACCCTGCCTTTGGCTTCAGCCTGGTCTCCTCCTCGCGCCGTGCCCAGTGGTACTCACCATCTTACACCTTCCGTGCATGACATGCCTCTCCCGGGCTCATGGAGAAGGGCTGTTGATGGCACTGACCAAGTTGACTTTGCTTATACCCCAGAGTGTTCATCCATGTGTATGCGTGTACCCAAGGGCACAATCGGAGACACAGATAGGCTCGCTGCCTACATGATCGTAGACTTTGGTGAAAACTGGGGAAGCCAAGGTCGCGCGTGGATTTTAGTCGCGCGCAGCAGCAGCACAAAGCACTAACTCGCTGAACCAAGAGTTTCCTATTATCATACATCCAGGTTGATATCAACCCGCAGAGCATTGGGAACCATAATTGAAGCAAGCGGACTGCACGCAGCCTAGCCCACGTTAAATTCACGCCTCGGAGTTCTAAAGTCTCAACTTTCAAGGGTCAATCTTGCCGCATGGCCCTCGCTCTTTGCCTCTGGTCGCTATCCGTACTGCTACTTCAGCTCCACAACGGTCGCGGGAGGGGCGAGGTATGCGTAAGAAAAGAGCGAAAAGAAGGGTGTTTCACGGCCAATGATTGGGCTCGCTGACGGTGTGCTAGGTAGACCAGTTCGCACAAATGGATTGCCTAGCAATCACTACGCTTCCTAGCGGCCGGAAGCAAAAGCAGAGTGCAGTGGTGCGTTCGATGTTGCGCAGCTAGCAATTAGTTGCAGTTCCCTCTTGCGTAAGGTCTCATTGATCGAGGGCTCTATGAATAATACGAATGAAAATTCAGAAAGGCTGGCTTTCAGTCTCTCCATTCTTGTGATGAGGGTTAACGCCAGGCGAGGCGGGGTAAAGACTCAGGCGTAACCATGGTGCGTTCCGCCTGTGATAACGATCTTGGTTAAAGCGACTGCTATCAGCATAGTGGCCGGCGGATCTGACATACTGGGAACTGGAGGGAAATCCGGGTTACATTAACCAAGCTTCCAAGTCGTAGGTTGACAGAGTTTGTCTGAAATGTGCGGAGATGGCTGCTACGCTTGCTTCTGTTACCTTTTCAGACGTTCCCCAGTTGTTAGTAACTTTGTTTGGTTGGAGACTTGGACCCTTGAAGTTTGAACAGCCAGCCACCAGGGGGTGGACCAGCCGCCGAGTCCCCAACAAAATGTCGATCGATGTTGACGTTCGGCGAGGGGAAGCTTGAAGCTGGCGCTACTTGCTACCATCGAACATAGCGAACGTCTGATATTGGCAGCCAACAAAATGACATTGGCGGTCAGGGCCCGACGAAGATGGAGCTGGCGATCAGCGAGCTTGATGAGATAGCTGACGCACGAGTACATGTCAATGGCCAGGAAAGCCATGCTTCCTCGCCTGGTGGTCTTGCCATCGCGGCAAAAGAGCATGCCAAAAGGCCGTTCCGTATGCCCCCCTCACTGCAGGGCTCGAAGCTTGGACCGAGCGTGCTCGTAGTGCACAAGGCGTAGTGCATATAGTAGGACCGAGGAGTAGAGCATCGAGATAGAGCATCGAGATAGAGCATCGAGATGACTGTGGTTTGTGGTGAGAAGCATTCACCTTGTCTCTAATTCTCAAAACAATGATGCCACAGCCCGGCGCTGGAGACCAAATGATATCACCATACTCCCTGAGTGGGTTGTGTCTTTCCTTCAATGCTATGGTGTGGTATCCGATCGAAAAGCCCCGACCAGCCGAGCCGTCACAACGGAAAGATAAGCAGGGCGGCTCCAGTGAGCAGACCATGCTAAGCAAACGCCCTGGCATGCCTGAATGCTGGACCTAATGCGTACGGATACGGCAAAGGTGCATTGCGTTCTTGTGAGCTGGGAGATGGCGTAAGGTTAGGAGAAGAAACGAGGCGAGACCACCAAACTTCCGGGTCCCAAGAAACCGTGGAGCCTGTCGATGGGGTCTCCGTGGGGGAGCGTATGGAGCCAAGACGAGAGACGCATTGAACCTGCGGACATTCGGCTGAGCTGTGCTACTGAGTGTGTTCGACGACTGTGCGACAAGACCCGAGGCGATCCAGCTATTCGGCGTTTATTCATAGGTGGGTAGACGTACGGTGAAGATTGGAAGTTGAGCGTATACTCCGAGCATTGAGCGATTGCCCATCTTACTTTGACACAATGTCTTGTTCGCTGTTGCCGGCTGGAAGTCCCCAGCAGTCAGGAACGGCCTGCGTCGATGGGGTCTTGCCGACGCAAGTTGACGACATCGTCAATGTGCGTAGCTGTTGGCCCTGTTGGCTGTTGCCATCTCCCCGGGAAAGAAAAGGGGCCTGCGCGTAATTGTTAGCGAGGTACAGCTTGCCCCGCGATGTCCAAGTCCATGGCACGCTAAATTACAGCACCGAGTGACCAGGCCGTCAGCCCGGGGAAAGGTTCCGGTCATGCGCAAGTCTCCATCTGGGGCCAGCCACAACCAGTATCCACATCATCGCGGCGAAATTGCGGGGCAGCTCTGACCGTCGTGACCTTTTACCTCCGACGTACACACCCCCACGTGACCCTGCTCGTCGGCTTGCCCTTGCCTTGCTAAGACTCGGTACGTATCCGTATCTTGGACGGCCTGCCCGACAGACGCGCAGCCCAAGAAGGAGGCTCTGGATTTAGATCTTCGCTTGCTCCTTGCTCAACGTCGACATCCGGGCAGAGTTGCATATCTTGTTTTAATTCAATATCAGGCCTCCGAATCCGCTGCATGTCGAACATACTCTGCATCACTCTGCTTGCTCAGGTAATGATCCACGATCGATGCCAGCTAACGTCACTTGCATTTGACATCTCTACTGCTGACTGGAGTCTCCCGGCGGGATCAGCAAGAGAAAACCCCCGACTTGCATATCCAAGCTTGACAAACGGCATCCAAAACTCTTGGTCCAAACTTCAAGAGTGAAGGGAGAGAAAGTGTTACTGCAAGTGCGCCCTATGTCTGATACTAGCGCATCAAAGACCCTTGGGTTTCCTCGCACCATATTTGTCACCCTTGATATCAGCCCTCGGCCTCGTTCGGTCGGTCCTTTTCCTTGCCCACGCCTATCGCCATAGCATCCATTCCAGGCCTGTCTTGGAATCCCCATCTTGGGCCAGATGGTCTTTCGGCCTGAACGGTCATCCCTTCCGGTAACGACGGCGGCGACTTGAGTCTCCCGGGATCGGCACGGACCATGAGGAATTGTTACGCGGACTTATACGGAAAACGAGAATCCTACGGGCGAGACATATGGACACCAACCAACTTGTCCCCGCCGTCAGAGAGGTTTCGAGGGTGAGGGCGGGGATCACGTTGTCAGTGGGTGCAGCAACGTGGGATTTGACCGGGGCGAGAGCGCGACAGATGGAGGAAAAATTCTTTTCGAAAATAATTTTCAACTCCATTCGCCCTCATGCCCAGGGTCCAGCCGACGACCCCCTGTCATTTGGGACCACAGTCGCCTTGCCAATTTCGAGCCTGCCGAAAGGCAGCCAAGAAGGCCCATTGCTTCCCTCGCTTGAGGCTTGCCTAGCCAGCCCTGAGCCAGACTCACACTGGCCTGGGGCTTGGGGCTGGGGAGCTGACCCTGCTCGAACCCTCAGACAATGAGGCGTCCGACCATCCGAGGATCACAACTTGGCCCAGGTAACTGGATATTGCCATTCCCATTATCGTTCTTGCGCCATCGTCACTGGAGCGGCTTTTGGCTTTATCACGAGGTCTCACTGTGCTCAGGCCTCGTCAGGACCTAGTGGCATTCCACAGTCAAGAGAGATTCTATTCGGATGCCTCCGTACGGTACGGATACTGCAGAGATACGCTGCCATCCGCCCTCGTAACCTACAAATCGCTGCTGTAGGTGCAGGACCAGTCGGTCAAGTACCTGGGGCCACGTAAAGAGCTGTTGGCATTTGCTATTGCGTTTATTCCCTCGGCAAAACGTATTCGTGTCTTGCACACAAGATTCGATGTATCCGACATGGTTCGACAAAACGACAAACGTCCCCACGTTGACGTCTTTGTGCCAGGAACACAAATGTGAGACGGGCTTTCACGGCCTGGATATGGCTAAAAATCAGAGACCCAAAGACCTGAAGATCACCGGGTATCTCACTCCTTCGACCGTCATTCCTCCACTCATCGATGCTTGGTACCTCATACAGTGCGCTTGGCTGGGTTATGTGTCATCTCGTCACTTTCGGCAGTAATGATTTATGCTTGCACTAGGTATTGGATACCATTCACCAACACACGCTTTAGGTTGCTCTCATTGGCACCACATCCGCGACGAGCCTGTCTCGCTCTCTCTTCGTCCAATGTGTCGTGGCATTCCGGGATTGCAACCTCCACTTCCCCAGGACCGCCACGACCGCCTTACCTGCCGGACGCTTTTCGTATGCTCATCGGTCTGGCAACAGTGCTGAACAAGTGTCCCCCACACAGTCTCTCACCTCCTTGCGGTAACGGACAATCAACGCCCATTCCCAAGTCCGTTTCGGTGGCATCGTTCACCAGACACTGGCATGCCTTCATTTGCGCAGGTCTACGATTCGAATGATTGTCGTACCCGCCCACGGCTAGGACGAATCCGTTCTCTCGAGGGGTTTGTCCCTGCTGAGACCGTCTTCAATCTCCAGACCTTGGCTTACTTGATTGACATTGGTTCACATCTCTCTAATGCCCTTATCTTGCTTTGCCCCGGATCATCCTCTATGTCTCTTGTTTATTATCCCGGCCGCCGCTACGACGGCGTAGAGGGCTGCTCAACCGCTGCTCAGTATCAGTCCGTGCTTAAGCCCTGTCTATCCCTTGTATTCCGGGGAGGGTGAATCCAACTTGATTGAGGTCGATGAAGCTCTATTCTGTCTTTGGAGTTTCCCTTGAACGTCCTGTGTACCCATAGAGAGAGCCCCCCATCTCCCGCCTCCGCATCATCCTCACTTCGCCCAGATAGCTCCTTGCGGATTCCTTTTCTACTTCGATGACCTTTTCCGGGCCATATCAACCAATCAATTGAACACTCGCTGAACGCCGCATTCGCCGCCTCGCCGTTTTGTGTCTTGTTCTCGTTCAATTCTACATGCCTGAAGTTGGATGTAGAAGTTCCAATCCCAGAGACACAGATATATAGACATGATACCTCCCTCTCGCGGCCCTTTCTCAAGACAAGTTTTCCCCCCTTCTTTATCATCATCATCATCACCACCACCACCACCACCACCAGCATCATTACATTGGTGGACGAGCCCTGACGAATAGACATCGAGGTAGGTGCCGGTATGTTTGTTACTCGCTGTCTCCTGCACCTTGGATCTCTCTCCTCCGATACCCTCCCACTTTCACCCCAGTTGTCGGTCTGGCTGCAAGCTGCCACACTTGCATTTATGGTGTGTGCATTGGCTTGCAGGGGTCTGATAAACGCTTGCGCAGCGCAGCATAGCGTTGCGTTGCTTTGCGCCCCTACTTTGTTACTGTACACCTGCGCCTCTTTCTCTCTCTCTCTCTCTCTCTCTCTCTCTCTCTCTCTCTCTCTCTCTCTCTCTCTCTCTCTCTCTCTCTCTCTCTCTCTCTCTCTCTCTCTCTCTCTCTCTCTCTCTCTCTTTCGCACCGCTCCTGGACTTTTCAGTTGCCTTGAATTCCCTCAGCATCATACCTGCCTCCTTTACGACACCAATTTACCGGTATCTTTACTCTGTACTTGCATCCGTCATTTCGGCTACTCTGCCTACGTACAGCCTGCGTGTGTCCATCTGCTACCCATTCACATCCACGTATCTTGTCCTTGCTAAGTGGCTACCGACAGGACTGAGAGTCCTCGTCCCACTTGCTCCTATGTATCCCAAGGTAGGGAGGCACTTCACGAGATACAAAAATACGTATCTTCAGGTCTGTCTGTTCGTAAGGAGCTACCTCGTACATGAAGTAGTTGGTGGCGTGCCGGACTATGGCAAAGTACCTCTTTTCGCATCGCAACTGCACCGCACATTCACTTCTTGCTTGTTGCTTTCTTGCTGCTAGTGCCCTGATCCCTCCTCCCCAGTCCACGTCCACGTCGCAGTCCCCATCCACATTGTTCATCCCCAGGCCCCAGAACATCTCGCAAAGTCTCCAGATGCCTCTCCTCAAGTTCCTCCTCCTCCTCGTCGCTTCGTCTCTCGGTCTCCAGTTTCCCAGTTTCTATCTTCCATGCGGCTTAGCACGCTGTGATTCAACCCCATGTGAGGCCTTCATCTCCTCGATCAACTATCATTTCCACTTACTCTCTCCGTTTCCAAGTCTCAATAATAGTTAGTGCTTCCCTTCAAGCCCGGGTCCAGTCCTCGCTACTTCTCCACACAGACGAGGTCTCCCCCTGCCACCCCTTGGACTCCTTGCCCACCATCACCCTTGCTTGCACCATCGAGCCCTTTCCCGAATAACCAGAAGCAAAGGCAAAAAAAAAAAAAAAAAACTGTGTCTCCCACACCCCCCCCCCCCCCCCCCCGGAGCGTCATCTCCCACGCCCCTCTCTCTCTTCTCAAGTTCTCCCTCCTCGCTCTGCCTTTCTGCATTCTGACCCCCCTCCACATTGACTTGGACCCCCCCTCATCTTCCATCTTTGCAGTAGGTATTCGTACGGATACCGGTACCTCCTCCTCACCCCCTCCCCGGTCGTATACCTGCCCTGACCTGGCGTACCGGTATGTGAGTGGTGTCCGTACCTATGGCTCCCACTCTTTCTCCTACCTTTTTCTCTCTCTCTCCTCCTAATCCACTGAGAGACTCCACTGGGGCGGGCAAAAGAACGAGACCTGCAATCAGCCTCTGGGGCTCGAACGTGCCGGTTGTCGTTCCAGTTTCTCGATCCGCTTCCCTACCCAGTATTTTACTTTTTTACCTTTTTATTTTTTCTCTTCCCCTACCCTGCCTGGCTATCGAGCAGCCCAAATTCTCCATACACCACGGATTACTTTTACCTACCCTTTCCATCCGTCCACCCATCCATTCTTCCCTTCACACCTCGGGTGTTCTTCCTGTCCTCACTCTCCACCTACCCGACTCGAGACTCGAGCAAATATACAAACCACCTCCCTCCCGCTTCCTTCCGTTGCCGCCCGCGACTCGCCTGGTTTTTCACGTTTTCGTTTGCGTTTCCAAGTTGCAGCGAAGTCTACTTCAGCCGTCGTCTCTTCTCGACCATCGTCACTGACCCTCACGCGTGTACCGTCAGTCCAAGCCCGCGCCAGCCAGTTTTGCTCTTCCGTTACGCCCTACCTGATCTACGACTCCTCCGCCTTTTCCACTGGCGAATCCCCCGCGCATCGCTCCAGTCACCGCCTTTGTTTCTTGGGACGCCACCGCGCTAGGTCCTGAGCCACCGAAAACCTGCACGGTACAACCAACGGCCTGGTGTGGGAGGAATAAGAAAAAGGGACCGTCATCCTCCCGGACAAAACAGCCCCCTCTCCGTCCTACGTAGCCGTCGCCCCGATCCCGACTCTCTGGTCCAAGATCTACGACCTGCTGCTATCACCTCTTTCCCATCCACCTACAACAACAACAAAAACACCACCAACCCGACGACCACAGCTTTCCATTTGGATACTTATGACCGATCTTGCTCGCCTCTGTACCCCATTAGCGGCGATTAGGGACTAACCTTCCTCAATTCGCCTAAACACCTTAACGATGGCTGTCGTTCTATCTTCAGAGGAGAATACCTACTTCTCCTCATCCAACCTGCGACGTTCGCACTCACAACCAAAGTTCGTCACAAAACAATCGAGCTTCCATTCGGCTCCTGCTCCCAGCCATATCAGCGACGTATTCGCAGACGCCAAGGTGTATCCCGACTCAGCACCATCGTCTGCCCCTTCATCCCCCAGGACCATTCACGCCGAATCTACCGACCTCTCTTGCTCCTCAACACCTGCCAGCAATGTCTCCATTGCATCCGATTGCGACGACACATTAGACCTTGCGGTGCACGCCAACGACCATTTCGTCATTCCTCACTATGAGGAATCTGGCTATTTTGACCAAGTTGAAGACCTGGAAGCACCAACAAGTCCCCGGACTGGCGACTCGTACACTGTCTCACCCGTCGACAACGACACTGATGGGAACACTTCCAGACCCAACACCCCTGAATTCGTTCTGGATGTAGAACACGCAGAAGACGATACTGCTGTTCGAGTACAACCCTCGCGTCACGTTGACTATCTCTCGCACAACTGGAAAGAGGAGGACATCTGGTCGTCATGGAAGTTCATCGTGTCGCGGAGGTCCGAATATAGCAACGCGGCTCGTTTAGAAAACGCATCATGGAGGACCTGGATGAAGTCGAAGAACAAGTTGAAAACCGTCTCCCCCGAGACTTTGAACTGGTAGGTAACCGTTGAAGCATACCTCAGTCCAAACTAACTCCTGGCAGGCTCAAGGACTGTGATGTTACCTGGCTCTATGGACCATTGCAGACGGGTCCAAACACCCTGAACCCCATCACCACCGACCCCAACAGCGCCAGGCTTACCAAGAACAACTCCTTTGTCAACAAGAAGCCTATCCTCAAGAAGAGGAGTATGTCGGAAGTCATGCTACAGAGGTCATTATCCGCGTCTTCTTTGCTGAAGCAGGCTGCCGCGGCAGTCCAAGCCCAAGAAAAGGACGGACGGAGACGTTTGGCTCGACCAACACTGGAGCGAGCCACCACAGACTACGTCACGTTTCCATTTTCATCGAGAAGACTGAGTCGCGAGAGCTCCAACCTGTGCCCGTCAAGTACATCATCCGGCATCATCTCACCCTCCAGTGAGAAGAAGCACATCCACTTCAATGAGCAGGTGTCTCAATGCATCGCAGTCGATATCAAGGGCGACGATGACGATGATGACGCAGACACTGAGCGCTACGACAACAGCGACTCAGACGAAGGAGCTATCATGATGAAGAGATCACGAACAAAGAAGAAGGCACCCCTGCTTAGAAGAAAGTCGTCAAAAGCCGCCGCAGCCGCTGAGGGCAAGACGATCGCGATGTTGCCATCGACTACTCTTAAGTACCGCGAAGATACCCCCGAGCCACAAGAAACAGCCATGAAGCACAGCACTTCGTACAGAAGCCCCGTCATGTCGCCATCCTCATCTCAAGAAACTCTGCGACCCTCCAAGGGTTCTGGGAAGTTTGTCTTTGATGACGACGACGATGAAGAGGAGGAGGCCGTCTCCATGGGTTGGCAGTCACCGACAAAAACCGACGACAAATCTGCAGGCTTACAACGATCATCGTCCACCAACAGTCTGAACGCCGAACCAGCTGGCATGCGTCGGACCTCGTCAGGTATGTTCATGCCATATGAAGAGGGGGAATCATCTTCCAACGAAGGAATCATCGGCCGGGTCATTGATACAGTTAATACAGCCCGGGATATTGCTCATGTTATTTGGAACGTTGGATGGAGGAAGTAAAGAACTCATTGAAGGCGGTTTGGGTCTCGGACTTTCCTTGCTCGACTCTAGCGAAACTCAATCGGCACGTCGTTCTTGGTAGTAGGTGTACAATACGGAGAAAGGCGGACGCATACATCCTCATGCATCTGCGAGAAGCTGGAGGATTTTCACATCTTGAAGCGACCACGAGGATGTAATCAGGCCAACACATTGGGTCACGAACGGTTCTGGTCTAATCAAACCATCACACACGGGGAGCATTATCACACAGCGAGTCGATGGCTCCATCACATTTGGTCGCGAGCTCAATATGGAATGGTACATGGTGGGATACCGGCGCTTAGGCTTGCGAATCATGGTAATGGGCTGGTCAATACCCTCACTATCATGGCAACAAGGAATGTTGCGTGGGGATTTAATGACGATACACGGAATATGCTTGTAACAATCATTTTGGGGAAATCTTGGGTACTAGGTGGTCTTCACCAGCAAGGCCTGGCACGCGAATTGGGTCCAGGTATTGGGGTTTCAGCAATGGCGCAATGGGAAAGAATGGGCGGAGAACAAAAGAAAATGATTTGTTTCATAACAAGAGTTGGCAGGGTCTCATCAGAGTTTGGTGCAGTCGGATTTGACGTGCTTGTAGCACTCGGAACTTGGACCGTGGGAAGAGGTGGAATCCCGGGCATAGCGCAGCTGCAAACTTGACGTCGACTCCGCAATGCCGGTCTTGTCCATATCGGGCTCGGCGTGCCTTGGGTGGAGATGTCGAGCATTCTTGGCAGCGGTGGCTTGCAGGAAAACCCCCGGGTATCAAGGGATGGGCAGTGGGAAAGTGACGTACAAATGTGTATCGTCGAGGAGAACGGATACACCTGGATGAGACCCGGGTCCAATGTATATAGAAAGGCAGAAAAAGGCTCGAGCAAATAAACTCGCCGCGGCAAAGATGCCAAAATTCACACGATTAACAACGTTTGTTGTGTTTGTACTTTTTTTCTGATGCCTCCCTCTTCATGCTGACGCGCAAGAAGATTGATTATGAGAGTGATTGTGATTGTGTACCTGTCCCGGCCGTTTACCTCGTGGTTTACGTGTATCATTACGCCGAATGTCTCCCAGCATCTCCAATGTCTCAGTATATTTGCTTTTCCTCCGCCATCTCTGGAAAGCAAGGGATGGGATGGACAGCAAGGTATTGGGCTTGACCGCCATGGAGGCAAGGAAGATTGGCGCCCCCTGCTGCTGATAAGGTGCGGCGTTATGTGGGATGTGAGTTCTTGGGGGCGGGGGGGATCTCAGGTTCAGAGTGGTGTTGTGCGAGGGTGTGGTTATTCAATTGGAGTCTGGTTGTATAAATGTAATATTGTTGTTGTTGTTTTTTGTACGGGATGACGTGCTTCTAGATCTTTCGTTTACGCAAATCGTGGATTTCTTGCTCGACTCGGGCTTTTCATCCACCCATCTGCCCTTGGATCTATCCCGTAGGGAAAGGCGGGGGGGCTAGAGTTAGACTCTCGTTTGTGTAACAGGGAATGTTCTTTTGTTCTGCTGATGTATTTTGGCTCCATTTGGCCTTCCCGCGGCCGCCGGGAACCCTGAGAACCTCTACGGCGCGGGATGAGGAACGGGGAGGACGGGGAGACGTGAACTAGATTTTACTAGCTAGACGTGCTAGGGAAGGGAGCATAAGGCAGAGGTGAATATATGCGTACCTAGCGCGCCTAGATGAGGTGTTTGGAATGCGGCTGATGTCGATGATGAGGCTCCCTTGACCCCTGCGGAGATCTTTCTCTCTTCCGTCTACACGTCTATCTTGGTAGCTATCCACGAATTTCACCGCAGTTTTTTTCTGATTTCTCAGGGACAAGGTAGATGTCATGTGATGTGATGTATAGTCTGCTTACGTTGAAACTCAAAGGTTATCGGCTCCTTCCGGGGGTTGTACAAGGTTGCTTGATGTGCGTATTAGGTTGTGATAGTAGTGGTGGTGGTGGTGGTGGTGACGGTAAGAAGGGGTGTGGAAGCGTGATGTTGGTGGCTGATGATGTGAACG